CTTCCTTTACAGAGAGATTCGCTGCAGCCACGCCCTCCTGCAGCGCTACCAGGAGGCTCTGGAGAAAGCAATCCACATTGCCGTTCGGCACAATCTGCCCCCCATCCCTGGCCGCACCCTCATCCTGATAACAAACTCAGACATGTTTCAGCCCTACGTGAAGGCCCAGGGTCTCTGCTGCCCCAGCACCAACGGGCAGGATGACACTGGACGGGCCTCTCTCCCCCTTACGGTTTGTTTATCTTAAAAGCAACCTTTCTGTTTTCCCTTTCCTGTTGACTTGTTCCATAATAGGAGCTGCATTAGGGCGACTGGGAAACTTCCTTGCCAACCTCGTTTGGCCCCCACCTGCCTATTTCCTTTCTTAAAACCAGCCCAGAGGGTGTCCCTGGCTGCCATCTTCCTTCTGAGTTCTCTGTATTGCCCTCGTAGAACTCAGGAGGGAGGGAAAACCTTTAACTAGTTGACTCTGCTTGTCATTGGCTTCGGATCCACTGATTATTATTAATTCATTTGTATGCCGCTTTTATACCGAATGGCTTCTAAAGCGGTTTACAAATGTAAAATCAATCCTAAAACCCATACCTGATTGAAATACATAATACCAATTCATCAGAGCATTAAAACATCTTTAGTTTAAAATGTGTAAATGAACTAGTTTAAAAGCATGACAAATCAGGTAAAACAATAAGAAATCCCAAGTTCGGGCAACTGCTTGGCTGAACAGGTGTGTCTTCAGGAGCCTGCGGGATGCCAATACTGATGGGGCTTCTCGTACTTCAGCTTCTTTCCCTATTAACATGACAACAGCCCTGCCCTGCCAACCCCAACCCCCGTACTACTAGATTTCCAGCAAAATGTACCAGTTGTTTGCAGGAACTGTATGTTCGATTCATTTAATCTTCAAATATTTATTATTTGTTTTAGTATTTGTACCCCCTCTGCATAGCTGTCAGTTTCCCCCCTTTTTTAAGGGAAATTCCCTTATTACGAATAGGATTCCTCGCAAGAAAAGGGAAAAGTTGACAGCTATGCCCCTCTGTTTGACTTAAAAATAAATGCAGATGGTGGCTTGTAACCTAATTTTTAAAACAGCTGTAAACCTCAGTTGTTACTTTTTTGTTGTTGTTAATCAATACAAGAAAATAAGAATTAGAAAATGAAACGCCCGCTGTACAGGAAAAGGTTATGTTGGTTGATGAGTAATAAAATCCTCTGGTCAGTAAAAGAGAATTTTCAGCTCGGTAGGGCCCAAAAAACTTCTTATTTTTCACACAACACCAGCTCAGAGGCCAGTTTCTGCAGCAAGATGGTTCCTTCCAGTCCCTTAATTTTAAAACCTGTGACTGGAAGCTGCAAGATTATAACATGTAAAACGGCCTCCTGAAATTTCTTCCTGGCAAATCCACTGGCGATTTGAGCTTGCCTCTGGCAGACATAATTATATCTAGGATAATTGAGGGTTGCTTCCAGACTGCAGCTGCTTTTAGGTGGGATTCAGTCACGTGCCAATACCAGCAATTAAAGTAGGTTTGGAGTGTTGCAGACCTGCTTCGCTCCCCTCCCCCCACCCCAAAATCCTTCTGTGACAAGGGAAGTGTGGAATAAGCTCTCCTTAGTTGCTTGACATGACGTTGTCTAAACTCCCCAGAAGCAAGTAAAGTGTGGGTGCTCAGTGAACAGATCACCTGGAGGCGGCTTGGCTTTTTCCACATTAGAGTCAAACGAATATTGGGCATGTCGAGGCGACTGCTTCTCCAGCCATAAGGGAGGCCTTCAAAGGGACTAGAGCTTTGCATATATATTTTTAAAGGAAAGACTTACTGTCTCTCCTCCAGAAGCTGGACGTGGCCATGCTGTTGGGTTCCATGGTGCATTTTGCGTCGGAGGAAGCCCAGATTCTCTTCAGCTACGAAGGACAAGAATTCAGGCCTGCTGCCATGACGGGCTCTGTGCTGACGGATGTGCAAGCTCTGCGAGATTTGGTAAGACCTGGAATTGGGGTCTGTGTGGAGTTCATTTTCCTGGTCCAAGGGTGTGACTTCCCAAGGCAGACTTAGTCCTCTTCCTTACCCCAGGTCCTGAATCATAACAGATGAGGAAGATAGGAAACTGAGTCAGCCCATCGATCCACCTGATGATTGGCAGATATAAATTCAGAGAGGGTCCTCTCCTAGCCCTTCTGGGAGAGCCCAGGGTGGAACCTGGGACCTTCTGCATGCCAAGCATGTGTTCTGCCACTGAGCTGCAACCGCCTCATGCTAAATAGAATTAAGCAAATCATAATATGGGAGTGAATCGGTCACATCTCCCTACCCCTTTCTGTACTTACCTGGCATTTTCCGTTTCTCAAGGGGATGTTCTTTATGAACTTTGCATCCCAGATCACAAGGGATAAATTTAAAACAGAGCTGCGTTGTGAGCTTGCAAAGAGGAAGTGTTCCTTTAAAAAAAAAAGGATGGATGACAAACCATAGGTCCCTGTTGCAGCCTCCCTTTTTGTTTTGTTTCCCCACCCCCTGGGCAAAATGCCACCACTTAGCATAGCACTTGAACAATGTTTTAAAAAGAAAAAATAAATGCAAATTAGCTGAGAAAGAGGACAGTCTCTCTCTCTCTCTCTCTCTCTCTCTCTCTCTGTGTGTGTGTGTGTGTGTCAGACACACACACCTTGGTTTTTGTTTTTTGTTTTGGACACCACGACTGCTTTCGTGCAGCATGTGGAAGGTTGGCCAAGGGTGACCCTCTGACCCAACCAAAAGTTTAGTCAACTTCCCTCCCCCCCCTCCCCTCCTCTTCTCCCCCAACTTTGTACTGTATACAGCATTAATGTCTCACATTGAATGTAACTGATCTGTAGAAACTCTTATGACCTGAAAATAGAGACAATGCACGTACATTTTAATAAAACTATTTTTTAAACAAACAAAAAAATGTGCACAGGAGCCCTCAAAAAGCACTCCGTCTGTGCTGGTTTTGCAATGTATGTTTTTATTGCCCCCTCCCCCCCCAATTATATAACAACATGGGAGTTTGTGCTTGCAGTGTTTCCTGTGTGTGAGTCTTTTCCAGTTGGGTTTCCCTTTTCTGACAAGGAAGGCTTGCCCGCTGCTTCTAGGCGCAACAGGCCTTGCCTCAGGAACCCAAGAAGCAACTCTTAACACTGAGCCCCCAGACCATTGTTCCATCTAGCTCAGGTTGGCCACAGTAGTGACTGGCAACAGCACTCCAGGATTTCAGATGGGGAGGCGGGCGGGAGGTGTCTCTCCCAGCCCTACCTAGAGATGCCGAGGCTTGAATCTGGGGCTTTCTGCACCCGCTCACTGTGCCTGTTTTGTTTGCTTCCACTTCTAGAATGCATACTACAACTACGAAGAGGACCACAGAGTCAGAGACGTCATCAATGGACCTCATCGCTCGTCGCCAAAAGGTGAGTCTCTGGGCTTGCACTGTGGATGAATTAATTGACTACAACCTCTTTATTTGGGTGGCTACCTTAAGAATGAAAAGAAGGGGTTAGCTAATTGATTTGAATTTGAAGACGACTCAATAGAGCAGTTCTTCATTTTCTTTTTAAGTGGTATGTATATCTGTTCTACGCGGGTGGCGCTGTGGGTTAAACCTAGGAGTTGCCAATCAGAAGGTCGGTGGTTCGAATCCCCGTGACAGGGTGAGCTCCTGTTGCTCTGTCCCAGCTCCTGCCAACCCAGCAGTTCGAAAGCACGTCAAAGTGCAAGCAGATAAATAGGTACCGCTCCAGCGGGAAGGTAAACGGCGTTTCTGTGCACTACTCTGGTTCGCCAGAAGCGGCTGAGTCATGCTGGCCACATGACCCGGAAGCTGTATGCCGGCTCCCTCGGCCAATAAAGCGAGATGAGCACCGCAACCCCAGAGTCGGTCATGACTGGACCTAATGATCTGGGGTCCCTTTACCTTTACCTTATATCTGTTACAGCAAACAGTGTTGGAATTCGTTTATTTCAAATGTGTAATATGCAGCCTTTCAGAGCTAAAATCTCTGAAAGGTGACGCACATTGAAACCATAATGCACAGTATCTCTTCCAGGCAACAATACAAAGCTTTTAGTATTGCCAACAAATGAATCTTCTTGGATGGAGCCTGCCATTTGCAATTTTTATAACGTATATAATAAAACATGCTGCTCGCTTTAATGACGGGTGCTTTTTAAATGGTTGCTTCTGAAGCTACCTTGTACCACACCAGACATTAGTGTGTGCTTTTAGTGCTAGGTGAAGACCCATTTATTCACCTAGGCATTTAAAAATAATTTGGGATTCGCTTCATATGAGGACTTACATTTCTCTCTTTGGGTTAAAAAAGTGTTACACTTCCATTTATTGATCAAATTTATATCCTTCCTTCAAAAGGAGCCCCTTTTGGGCTTTGTTTTTGCATTTTAAAGCTCTGCTTTATTCTTCTGCCACTTGTGATGTGCCCAGAGAACTATGTTGTTGGGCAGCCTGTATAAATGGCAGGAGGTGGGGATCCAAAGATTTATGAACAGTGCTGAGAGGCCAGCCCCCCTCTGACTTAAGGAATGATGCTGCCAAACAGCAACAGCCACTGCCCTTGTGCAGTGAGCCTCCCCAAGGCTGTCCTCTTTTGGAAGCAGTGTGCTGGGTTGTAGAATGATGACCCTTTGGGCAGTGACACCGAGGGGGTGGTGTGTGGCCCTGATGCAATGAACCATAGACAATGCTCTTCTGGGGTAGTGTTAGGCAGATCTGTGCATCTCCTTTGGCAACAGAGAGCCTCGGTCTGGGGTCCCAACTCCTCCGAGCTTTCCATGGTTTTGCAGAGTGCAGCTGCTGAATGATTTAATTTCAGTTCACCAGTGAACGCTTCCGGTTAATGGGGAGGCCCTGTGGGGATTAGCCATGCGCTCAGGCGATTTGCTTCGGGCTGCTGAAAATGGGGTTTCTGGTTTCCTACAAGTTCCTGACTCCTGCTTTATTGCTTCTCACTTCTCCCACGCCAGGTGGACAGAATTCTTCTTCTGAGCGCTGAGCCCCACGTCCCGCTCCTTGGCTCTGCCCTTTGGCTGTATCGCCACCATGTGTCCCCCGACTGCCTCTTTGTCAATGTCTGTGCGAATGCAGCGTAAGTAGGGGAGAAGTTGCAGAGACTGGGAAAGCTGCCTTATCAATTGTAGAATCAATTGTAGAACTGTAGGGTTGGAGGGGGGGCCCTAAGGATCATCTAGTTCAATCCCCCCCCCAATGCAGGAATCTCAACATGTGGTTCCCTCATCCGTTTTGAAACCATAACATACCCTGCTTAGCTTTGGAAGCCTGTTTCAGCTATTAGTCTTTCCCAATCCCATCCACTTAATCCAGTGCTCTTGGGAAGAGTGATAGCAACACGTTCTTAAGTAAATGTATCCAAGTTCTTCATGTGCATTACTGGCCAATAGGAGCTCCCCCCCCCCATATCGCTGTCTCTTCCCTGCCCCCTGCCTTGGTAGAGAGAGCTACAACCCTTCTTTGAAGATAATTATTATATATTTATCTATACCATGCCTTTCCCCTGACGGACTCAAGACATCTTACAGGAACTGCTAAAAACATAGAAAAATCAGTCATTTTTAATTGTATCATTTCAATCAATCAATCAGTCAGTCAGTCATTTAATTCTATCACAATTTGAGATAATTGTATCTCAAACTATTTGCTAACTAATGAAGTCATTTATTGAAATATTTTCTGCCCTTATGTAGTAGGCAACTTCCCATCAATATACCATATTTTTCCGTGTATAACACAACCCCTATTTCTGGGGACTCAAAATTGAGAAATGGGGGAAGATTGCCCACAGTTGTTGAGCTTGGGGGGGGGGTGCCGACAATTGCTCACCCGCCAAACCGCCGCTGCCAATCGCACGCATCCACGAAGCCAGCAGCCGACAATCCCACGCCTGGTTGCCACAGCAGCAAATCGCAAACAGGCCTTGCCGCAGCCACCATTCACCCCCCTAAACGCCACTGACAATCTCCTGCTCGAGGCACCCACCAATCACCCGTCCCATCCCAGCACTATCCGTGTATAAGATGACCCCAATTCTTTAGTATTTTTTTCCAATAAAATAACCTCGTCTTATACACAGAAATATACGGTACTTGCATTTCCCACTTTTATTTTTATTTTTTTGAGTTCTACCTAAGTTTGGAGCATTAGAAAGAGTGGGGGGGGGGAAGCATGGGAGGGGGGGTCTGGTGGAACACACCCCATAAACTTTACTGAGTGCTGTTCCTTCCCCTATCCAATTTTAGGAATCCAAGTACTTCCGGTTCCAGGAATGTTGTGATAAGTGGGTTCAATGAGCAAGTGCTCAGGTGAGTCTCAGAACTGAGCAAATGCAGAAGAACTGCTGGTTGGCAGGACACTATTTACCAATGTGCATTTACTGAGAGAACTTCAGCTGTCTTTGTTCCTTTGGATAGCTGAGGATTAATTCTGCAAATGGTTGCTGAAAGCCAGAAAATGATTTTTTTAAGTGTGCGTTTATGAGCGTTGATGGCTGGTGGCTACTAGCAGTTTGGCATACAGCCAGCCATGGAAACAGAAACCTGAGAAGCACCTTGTTCATTCTGGGTTTTGTTTTTTTGCATTTTGTGCTGGATTAATAGCCCCTTTCTGTATTTTGCAGGTTCATGGCCGAATGTGGCAACTCCCGGTTCCTAGAGCACGTTGGGAAGGCAGACGAGATCCATGGCCTGCCCAAGAAGCGGAAGGCAGTGGCGGTTGAGGTGGAAACTGGGGTTGCCTCCTTGATACCACCCCCCAAGAGCAGGTGACTGTGAACTGAGGTTTATGTATGGGTTGCCCTACAAGTGGAGCTTCGTAAAATTTATATACTGCTTGATTGTAAAAAACCCAACAGCAACCTTGAAGCTGTTCACAGAAGGAATAGCAGGTTCAAAACAACTATTTAAAACATCCAAAAAAATTAAAATCAACAATAAGTTAAAATCCACATTAAAACGCCAGTCCACATTCTACAAACTGAACAGGTTAAACAAAAATGTATTTAGCAGGCAGCAAAAACAGTACAGTCGTACCTTGGTTTTTGAACAGCTTAGTTCTCGAATGTTTTGGCTCCTGAACGCCACAAACCCGGAAGTGACTCTTCCGGTTTGCAAACTATTTTTGGAAGCCAAACATCCAACGGGACTTCCATGGCTTCCGATTGGTTGCAGGAGCTTCCTGCAGCCAATCGGAAGCCACACCTTGGTTCCCAGATGTTTTGGAAGTCAAATGGACGTCCGGAACGGATTCCGTTTGACTTCCAAGGTACGACTGTACAGTGAAGGCACCTGCCTGATCAAAATGGCTGAGTGGGCATGTGTGGTGCTTAGACCTCTCAGGGTCTATGACTGCTTTTGTATCCTGCATCATTTCCCTCTCAGGTGGCGCTCCGTCAAGATTTTTGTCTCCTCCACCTTCCGCGACATGCACGGCGAACGGGACCTGCTGATCCGCTCCGTCTTCCCTGAGCTACGAGCCCGGGCAGCCCAGTTCTGCCTGGCGATAGAGGACATCGACCTCCGCTGGGGGATCACTGAGCACGAGAGCCAGCAGAACAAGTATGAGGAGAGGAGGGGAAAGACCAGGGTTATTTGGGGGTGCTCCAAACTTCCTCAGTTCTAAGTCAGCTTGTCTGATAGTTGAATTTTAGTTTAGCACAGCACCCTTTGACTACACTTGGAGGGTAGCAGCCTAGCTTACAGGGTAGAGGGCAGGCCATGTGGCACATACACAGTTCTACTCCTCCAGTCCTTCTTTGCTGCTGCCTGAGGCAGCTGCATCACTTCGCCTAATGTTTGGGCCGGAGCCTGATGCCCTCAATTGCCACCCCCAGTCTCATGTCCGTAATTTCTCTTGTGCAGTTGGGGGGATCTTTTCGAATTTGTTCATTGGAAAAGTGACATGGGAAGCTGCCTTATACTGAGCCACACCTTTGGTCCTCTAGCTTAGTACTGTCTACACTGACTGGCAGGGTTTGGGGCAGGAAGTCTCTCCCAGCCCTACCTGGAGATGCCAGGGTTGAACTTGGGACCTTCTGCACACAAAACTGGTGTCCTACCACTGGACTGTGGCCTTTCCCCATTGACTGAGTAAATAAAGAAAACACAGCATCAAAATTTTCTGTGCGTCGGAAGCAAGGCATTATGGGAGTTCTGTCAGAACACCTTGACCTGTTTTTCTTCCCTGTGTAACTCTGTCTCCCATAAATGCATTTAGGAAGGCGGTGGTGGGATTGGAGGTTCAGCAGACAGATTTTCTAAAGGTTCATTGTCTCTCTCTCTAGGCAGCTGGAGCTCTGCTTGTCAGAAGTCTGTCGGAGTCAGCTGTTCATTGGGATCCTTGGGGAGCGGTATGGCCACGTCCCTACGGAGTATTCCTTGCCAGATGAACCCCATTTTGAGTGGGTGAGTGAAGAGACTGTGAGTTAGCCAGTTCTAGTGCTGCTCAGTAGCACTTTGGACCCAGGATGAAGCATTCTTTCCCAAACAAAACGGGCACAGTCTGGTTAGCAGTTTTCTCCTTTTCATAGGCAGAAATTTTGTTGCTCGCCCCATGAGTATGTGTATTTCTGTTCCTGAATGGTATTCCCCAGCATAGGTTACAGATCTGTGAAAAGAATACACTCCCTGTTCTTAGCCTTGCAATCTTAAAAAAAGGCATGGCACAGAAAGAATACTAATTTGGAGAGTGAGAAGGAACCACCGTATTTTTCCGTGTATAAAACTAGGTTTCCCCCCCTAAAAATAATGTCAAAAATTAGGGGGTGTCTTATATTCTGGGTCATTTTCCCCCATTTTCTTAAATCTAAGTCCCTAAAAATAGAGGACTTCTTATACATGGGGGTGTCTTGTAGACAGAAAGATATGGTAAGTAAACTCTGGTATCAGTTCTTAGTTTTCGAATGACTGTGCGGAATGGGAACAGTAGGCAAGGAAGAGGCAAAAGATGCTGATCTCTCATGGAGTGTCCCTGCTTCCCTCATTCTGTTAGCAACCTTCTCAGTATTCCCTATCAAAGGGAATACTGTTAATGGATGTTTTTTTAAAATGAATTTGCTGCCCTAGGAGACTTAGGGTTGCTTTTAATGCAGCTCTATATTAAAGTTACTTGTTCCATTGTGAAAATGTTTTGCTCCAGTGGAACATTGTCACACGAGAGAATGCATAGTAGGCAGGTTGCTGGTAACTTTGCACAGCCTGTTGTTAGATTATTTCCTGCAAGGGCAGCTGTTGCACATTAGAACCCACCCTTGTGCTAGCAGGCAGAGAACTCTGAATCCGACTAAACTTCAATGGGAAGGGAAAGAGGATGTGTCAAAGAGAAGATGACCTCAAAACAGCCCTAAGGAGTCCTTGAGGTTGGGTGTTTCAAAGCTTGTATGTCGTCTCTGCAGGTGAAGTTTTACCCAGCGGGCCGCTCCATCACTGAGCTGGAGGTGGTTCAGTTCCTGAACGGTTGTAAGAACCCTGCTGCACCATCAAGGAGCTTCTTCTACCTCCGGCAGCCAGACTTTCTCGAGTAACGCATTTTGTTTTAAAATATTTCCATATGCCTGTAATGTAGTGTAGCTTAATGTTTGTTTTATTTTTTAAAAAAATCAATTAATCTGCCATAGCCTATGATAGTTATTGCACAAAAGCACCAATAGTTTCATTCTGCTTTATAGCTCAGTTGGCAGAGCATGAGACTATTAATCTCAGGGTCACGGGTTCCAGTTCCGTGTTGGGCAAAAGCTTCCTGCATTGCAGAGGGGGTTGGACTAGATGACCCTCATGGTACTTTCCAACTCAGGTTATTTGCTGATCCCAATGGAAATTGCACTTGGTTTTGGTGCAACATTTTCCAGATGCCATTTTGGGCTGAAATTTGGCATTCTGTGGTTGAGTGAGGATTTGAATCCCATGTTTCCCTGATCTTACTGTGTCTCCATTACAACACACAACCTTTACATCTGACATACATTATGGACATTAAAAACACATTTGTGCATGTGTGCATACCATTTTTAGTGCTTCTGCTGGGAGGCAAGGAGCTGTCCAGGGTCCTGAAGCTCCACTCCCTCCATAGTACAGTACTGTACTGTGACAACACCTCTGCTCCAAACATACTCTGGTTATAGCTATGCTGTTTGTGCTAGCCTCAGAGGATTGCAACTCTAGTGAGAGGTGCTGAGAATTTAATTCATTGGCCTCCTTGTCTCTCTTGGGTATCTCTTCTTTTGCATGTGCTTGCAGAATCACATTTTTCCAGTATCCCTTGGTATGAAACCATGATACGTACAAGCAAAGCCACAAATCGTTTTGGAAAGATGTTAAATCTGATTTGAAACATGGCCTGAGATTCCTCTAGCTGTAGGCCCACAAGAAGAGAGTGAAAGACAACTGAAATAATCGGGGTGACACATTTCCCTTCCATTGTTAAATTGCATATACAGCGTGACTGTAGAATTGCTGATCACAAGCAACTCCCATCATAAAAGGGAGATTGTTTATTGCAAAGCAAACTGGATTCCTGTCCGGTTCCTTTGAAGAAAGGCATGACTCAGGAGGGACAATGGATTATAGTCATCATCATTATCATTTTGTTTGTATGCCGCCTTTCCATAGTTGCAACTACGCTCAAGGCGGCTTACAACATGACAAGAGTTACATAATTACAAAATTACATAATTACAAACATAGCAGAGGTCATAAACAATAAAACACATCAAAACGTACACAACCAGATGGAAACAATTTCCATGTAAATCATAAGATCTAAAACTAAACATACAACAATAATGCCAATAACAGCTATGAGCTCTCATCCCTCCATACCCCAATAAACATAGTCGTACCTCGGAAGTCGAATGGAATCAGTCGAATGGAATGGAATCAGTCCAATAAACATAGTCGTACCTCGGAAGTCGAATGGAACTTCCAAAGTGCAGCTTCTGGTTGGCTGCAGGAAGCTCCTGCAACCAATCAGAAGCTGCTGAAGTCCCATTGGATGTTCGGCTTCCAAAAGAAAGTTCCAAAGCCAGAACATGCACTTCCAATTTTCGATCGTTTGGGAGCCAAAACGTACGAGTTCTGGGTGTTCAAGAACCAAGGTACGACTGTATATGCATATATGTATAACTCGTATCCAAACTTCTTGGTTGTCCAGCTTTGGCTTTTCAACCAAAACACCCAGGTTCTTTCGAAAACATGAATCTTGAAAGCAAATCTCACAGAATGTGGGTTTTCCCTTTGATTCAGAATTGTGGTCTGTCGTAATTTAGTGCCTCTTTGCTCCTCTGTCACTCTTGGCAGCTCCGTGCCAGAAACGTGGAGGGCGGATTTCGTGGCTGAGTCAGAGGAGGCCAAGCGCCGGCTGGGAGACCTGAAGGAGAGCATTGAGAACCATGGCAGCCTGGCTTCGTGTAGCAGGTGATGGGAAAGTGATATTGGTGGGGGCAGTGAGAGATCCCATGACCCTTCTGCAAACGTCTTCACTATCTGTGGTTCTCTCTTCTTCTTCTGTTATTTTAGATACGTTTGTCAATGGGGCGGGGTAGCCCAGGGCAGGCCATACGTCAAGGGGCTCGAAGATTTTGGTGTCAAGGTACTGCAGGATGTATGGGAATGCCTCCGGCGCCAGTTTATAGAGGTAAGGACTGAAAAAAGCAAAGACTGGGCAAGCGTGTTTGGTTTTTTTCTTAACGGACTTTTTGCGTAGAGGGAAGCTCATTCCCAGCAGTTATGTCTACAAGCATCCTCTGTAACAGTGAGTTTATGGAGTGGGAAGAGTTCCCCAATATCCCCCTTCCCAACATCATCAACAACATGCCCTCCAGCAAGAAATATAATACGTTTTGATCTCAAGGTCATGAGTTCCAGTCCATGTTAGGTGAATGTTAGTCCATGTTAGTCCATGTTAGGTGGGAGCCAGTGTGGTGTAGTGGTTAAGAGCGGTAGACTCGTAATCTGGTGAACCAGGTTCGCGTCTCCGCTCCCCCACATGCAGCTGCTAGGTGACCTTGGGCTAGTCACACTTCTCGGAAGTCTTGCAGCCCCACTCACCTCACAGAGTGTTTGTTGTGGGGGAGGAAGGGAAAGGAGATTGTTAGCTGCTTTGAGACTCCTTAGGGTAGTGATAAAGCGGGATATCAAATCAAAACTACTTCTTCTTCCTGTATTGCAGGGGGATGGACTAAATGTAATGGAGGCTTTTCAGAGGCACCGTAAAGAACATCAACCACTCTTGCAAATTTTTATTTCATTTTTAAAACACTGCAGTTTGAAGCCACGGGTGTTTGTTTCTAAACCAATCACCCTTGGGTGCCTGTCTGCCTTTCTCATCATTCCCATCCCTGCTTACCCCCCAGGGAGATGGCTCCACTCTGGCCGATGACGAACCAGAAAAGGAGGAAGAAATTGGCCTGCAAGACTCTTTCCAGGAGTTGCAGCAGAGGAGGTTTTGTGCCCGGGCAAAACTCGTCCATTCTGTGGCTGCCCAGCTGCGCAGAGGAAAGCTCTGTATTGTGAGCGGAGAGGCTGGCCAAGGGAAGACTGTCTTCCTGGTAAGTAAAGGAAGCGAGATTTGGAGGTGGGAAGGAGTCACTAGATACAAATAGTGAACCTGATTCTCAAAGTGTGTAGGTAGCCAGAACACCATCCATGCACCAAGGAGATGCATTCGCAGGGTTGGGGGAAAACCTTGGTTTGCGGTAGTACAAAAAATGAGTCTTTAAGAACAATAACCCAAAAAATGCTAGAGGGGAGGACCTCAAAATGTCCTAACAAGAACTGAGCATGTTCATTGAATGCTGGGTTGGGGTTGGGGATGGAGTGGAGACTGGGTTGATAGAGGAACTGGAACGGAATGGCTGGCTAGAACCTGCGGGTGTGGTTAGCTACCTTTTAAATTAAATTAAATTTTGTTTACTGACATTGTCCCTGGGAATGACAGCATGCTATTTGCAGGATCATTCCACTGGGAAGATTGCAGTGGAGAACGTTAATTGCTGCTGGGCTTTACAGCTCTGCCACTCTTTTCAAGCAGCAGTAAAGCTTTCATCAAAAGAGGGTCAGTGTTTAAGAGGGTTGGACTAGGACCTCACAGACCAGAGTTCAAATCTTGCACTTGGCCCTGAAAGTTCACTGGATTGACTTTGGGTCAGTCTCCCTCTTCTCTTTTGGCCTAACCTCTACCTCACAGGGTTGTTGTGAGGATAAAGTAGGGAGGGGAAAACCCATGTTTATCACCCTGAGCTGCTTGAAGGAATTAATAAACCTGAGAGCTGAGGGAATAGTGACTTCCTCAACCCATGGAAAGCACATATTTGTCATGACTAAGGTATTTGAGGGCAGAAACTGCTAGAAAATACTGGAAGTTTATAGAAGATTCTGGAATGTACTGGAAGACTCTGGAAGGTCCATATTGTTTCGACTAACTCAGGGTCACATGGAGCCAAGAGAGATAAATTCCTGGGCTCAGTGAGCTGCTTTATCTCTTTGCTCTCTTACTCTGCTTGTGCATTGTATGGAACGAAGGCCAGTTTTTGCCTCAGTAAAGTTTTTCTTTTACTGTGGATCTTTTACTCGTGTGTGGTTCCTTTTCATTTACTGCGAGACACTGCTGTTTGTCAATATTAGCAGGGAATAAAAGCTAGGAGAATGAGTTATGGGGTCAACACTGGCCAGGCCTGAGTTGGCTCAGCTCAGACGTGTTGCTGAATCCTCCTCTTCTGCTGTCTTCCTTTTACCTCAGGCGGCCCTTTCCCAGGTGCTCAGAGCGAAGGCCCCGCAGCAGAAAGAAGACCCTGCTCCCAGTTACCACGTCGTGACCCACTTCACCCAAGCCCGGCCCGATCAGGCCGAAGCCCAGGTGATGTTGGGCCACCTGTGTTCCCAGCTGAGGAAATTGCTGGCGCATCCTCCAGCCCCACCCAAAAGCTACAGGTTAGCATGGCGGCCATTTTGAAGAGCCTGGTTTATCAGGGGTGACGTTGCTTCACCTGCAAGCTTCTGCGTAAGAGAATAAGAAGGCTGCTCTGTTTCCTTTCAGGGGGCTGGTTGGCCAGTTTGACTCCCTCCTCCATTCTGTGGCCCTGTCTTTGAAGCGACGCCAATCTCTGGTGGTTTTGGTGGATGGCGCTGACCTTACCTACACGGCCAGTGGGCAGCTGGTTTCTGATTGGCTGCCCGAGGAGCTGCCCCAGGTGAGCCCTCACCTGTGTGTGAATATAGCATGCATCCTTTCCCACCAGCCACATACAGATGATGGCCCAAAGTTCCCTTGCACCTGCTCTTCGCATGAACCTTCTGTCTTTTCTCTGACTCTCCCTGCAGCGAGTCAGCCTTGTCCTCAGCGTCTCTGAGGAATCTGTACTCCTTGGGTCTCTCAAGCGGCGGAAGGACGCCTCCTTCATTCCCCTTGGACCTCTGGACCCCCCTGACCGAGTTGCCATGGTCCGCAAAGACCTGGCCTTGTATGGCAAAAAGTTGGAGGAGTCGGCTTTCAACAACCAAGTAAATGGGGAAATGTTGTGTTTGGGGGTTGAATTATTTGATGGTGTGGTCTGGAAAGCCGTAAGTAAGCTGTGTAAATACTGGGACCTGGACTGTTCTGCACAGGTGTGGGATTTAAATATCAGTTGTAGGATTCCATGTCCAGGGCTGTTCAGCCTTTTCCTTTTGATTAAGTTACTAGTCCTCAAGGAACGGAAAACATGTGAGCAATTCCTGGTATGGTTATGGAAAGAAATGCATGTGTTGGGGTTAAAGAGAAGGAAGGATGCTGTTCTAATGAAAGTTTAGTGCTTGCTTGCTTTCCCCCATGTAACATGGGTAAAGCACATGCAGAATTTGGCTCCTTGCACCGTGTTGACGCTTGAGCACCACCTATATCCCAGTGCAGGTTCCAGATCAGCTGTGAAGTGGTTGGTCTTTGCTTGTTGCTCCACCTGTGTTTCTTCCTGATTATTAATGAGAAAGAAGCAGGGAAGAAAAGGAGTGGTTTTCCTGGGCTATTCAGAGCCAGAGGATGGCCTAGTAGTGGCTGGAGAACTACCGAGTCCTGGATTCAAATCCCGACCCTGCCATGTAACTCCAGAGACGTTGGGGCTAGCCACTGTCTCTCCTTGGCCTAACTTACCTTGCAAGCATGGTTGTGAGGATAAAAGGGGCCACCTTGAGCTCTTGGAGGGACGGTTGGGGTAAAACGTACTAAAATGTCGTGCCCATGCTTTCCCCCTTTCCCCCTCCAATGATAAATTCTCCAGTGGTTAGAACGGAAATGGGGAGCCTTTTTTAAATTCAAGGGATGCATCACTACCTGGGCAGTCTCCCGGGTCCCACATGATACTGGTGGGCGGTTAAAGTGGGCGGAGCAACATATGTAAACTGTACATGTTGTTTAGTAGGTTGGTTCATTCACACAATCACACGTTCCTTTCTGTAGGCAAACAAAGGGCATTATTGGAGTTGAAGCACACATTTTAGCTAGGCAAAAGCACCCAGAGGGGCTGGTAAAGGCCCCAAGGGATAAATAGAAAGGCTTGGGGAGCTGCTTTTGGAGGGGCCTGGGGCCTGAGGTCACCCAGGTAGAGGACAGTTTGAGACTCTTGATTCCGCCTGTTTCCCTACAGATGCGGCTGGTGCTCCTGAAGCGAGGCTCCCGGCAACCTTTGTACCTGACCCTGCTGACTCAGGACCTGCGGCTCTTTGCCCTGTATGAGAAGGTGAGGCAGCTGTTGAGACGGATCGTGGGTTGGGGAGGAGGAACGATGAGGCATCGCATGGCTCCAGACCTCAGGGGTCTTTCTGCACTGTTGGATCATCTGTTTCTTCCCCCTCCTCCCCCCTTATCCACAAGCTCTCGGAGAGGATCCAGAAACTGCCTGTGTCACTGCCTTTGCTGCTGCAGCATCTGCTGGGCTGCCTGGAGGAAGATCACGGGGAGGAGATGGTTTCTGTTGCCCTCGTGTGTCTCTGGGCCAGCAGAGACGGTAAGTCCCACGCGAAGGGGAAATTTAATGGTGACATTGCGCACAGACCAGAGGCTGTCTGCTTTCGATAATTCCTCTACCTGTAAATATTTCAGGGAAGATGCACTGCTTTGTTTCCAATCTGAAATCCTTCCAACTTTTCAAATACCACAGATGTGACAGGGGAGGCGGTGGGTTATTGTTTTTCTGTTGCACTATAGCACAAGAGTGCCCCTCCAGACTTCAGCAATGGATTCACTCTTGCCATCATTTGGCTGGGTTGTCCCAGCCATTCTGGACAGCTTCCAATGCATAATAATAATAATAATAATTAATAATAATAATAATACCTCTAACGTTAAAAACTTCCTGATACAGGGCTGCCTTTGGATCTCTTCTAAAGGTTGCATAGTTTTTTGTCTCCTCAAAAAAGGGCGTTCCACAGGGCAGGCACCACTACCCAGAAGGCCCTCTGCCTGGTTCCCTGTAACTTCACTTCTCGCAGTGAGGGAACCGCCAGAAGGCCCTCAGAGCTGGACCTCAGTGTCCAGGCTTGGGAAGCAATGTAGAATGACAAACAAAAGCAGGATGATGTTTGGATGGTCTGGCGTAAATCACCACTAATGCACTATTATTAGCAAAATCCACCTGCAACACACAAACATGCACCCAAACCAGTCTGCAGGGTCCTACTGTGTTGTATCTGAGGCAGAGGTGGCCAGTGTTTCTGATTATATTTATCTGATGGCCTGCCTTCCAGTTAAATGATTCTTAGAATAGTTTACAGGCTACATAGTCCTCTGACAGATGCACGGGGTCAGGTCATGTTTCTCTTCAGCTCTACAACCCCAGGGCAGGCAACTTCCAGTACGTTTCCGAGCACAATTCAAAGTGTTGGTGCTGACCTTTAAAGCCCTAAACGGCCTCAGTTCAGTATATCTGAAGGAGCGTCTCCACCCCCATTGTTCTACCCGGACACTGAGGTCCAGCGCTGTTTAGGGAAGCTTTTAATGTTTGATGTATTATGGTATTTTAATATTTTGTTGGACGCCGCTCAGAGTGGCTGGGGAAGTGGGGTATAAATAATAAATTATTATTATTATCATCAGAGTGTTCCTTCTGTCAGGGAGGGGAGAAGCCTGGTCCCTCCTACAGCTGTGTCTCTCACTGATAGGTAAGGGGCAGGCTGATTTTCCCTCTTATCCCCACTAACTAAAAAATATTTTTTTTTGGAGGCTTGGATACAATGTCATAGAATTCTAGAGTTGAGAAGGGACTCTTAGGGTCACCTAGTGCGACCCCCAGCAATGTAGGAACATGCAGTTGTCTCATACGGGGATCGAACCTGCAACCTTGGCATTACCAGCACCATGCTTTAACCAACTGAGCTATTCAGGTTCCAGTGGCACTTGATCTACATCAGGCCAGTTGTTGGGGGATGCTGGGAGTCATAGGCCTGGAGGGCGCAGATTCCCCCGCCCCTGGGCCTACTCTTAGACAGATGACTGTGGTCGTGACCCTCTGCAGGTCTCATGGAGCGAGATCTCTACACCATCCTTGCTGACTTGAAGGACCTGAATGGGACTGACTTCACCATGGAACACGCCATCTGTGTCGAAAGACAAGCCAGGAGCCATCCCATGGCCCCCTTCTTTGACTTCCTGCGGAGCCTGAGGGGGTGAGTAGTGATATTAAATTCCCCAGAATAATCTTTTGGAGAATATTTTTGAGAAATGGATGCTTCTTTGAGGGATGGGGTATAAATAATAATAATAATCATCATCAATAATTTATTATTATTATTATTATTACTATTATTATTCCTGTCATTGGGCTCCCATCCTTGGCCCTGGGTGGAGAATACTATCCAAGCACATTTAGGTAGTTTTTGAGAGCTCTGTTTTTGGGGAGCACTGGGTTTATCACTCTCTGCTGTCACCCCACAGCTTGCTTGGGGCATGTGGCTCCCCCTCAGGGCCTTCAGGCTCTCGGCTGCATCTCTCCAGCGCCCCCTTGAGGATGGCAGTAGAACGGCGCTATCTGAAGAACTCGGGCTTGGACTACACAGCTCATATGCTCTTGGCAGGTAACCCTTCTCACCTTTTTGGTACTATGGAATTCTTGGTCTTTGGCTGCTTTTTTCTTGCTTTTTTAATCAGCGGGTTGAAATGTGGCACCTTTCAGCAGACCTTGGTAGTACTCCAACCAATCTCTAGGTGGCAGCCGGCTCAATAGGTCAGCAAGGGGTGTTGCAGTTCAGCCAAGTGGCCTGTAGTGGGCGCTAACAGAACAGTTGTCTCGGATCTCTCTTGTTCTTACAGCTCATTGGTGGAAACTGGTAGGCTTGGACGATTCCTGGAACCAGAACTGTGAGGCAGAGGCCTTGATGGCCCTCCCCTATCACATGGTAAGTGATGACTCTGCTAGCCATTGACGACTGGGGAACTAGGAGGCCATGTTGAATAATATTGAGACTGGAGAAGCCAGTATAAGTTGCATTTTCAGCTGAATTTAGGGAAGCCACTTGAAGCATCTGCTGTTGAGCTATCTCATTGATGCTTTTGTTTGATTTGCTCATTGCAGACAGCTCAAAGTCTGTAAATATTGATAATTAACCTGATTTGCAATGGGAGTTGAATAATTTTGATTGCAACTGTAGATCTCAAGATTGGGGAGGTGGGGTGGAGAGACTTGAGAATAGAGCTGTTGTACGGAGGTGTGGATCTGAACTGTATCCTTCAGCGAAATGAACATCCTCCTGTTTATTTATCAAAATTATTTGTATGCCACCCTCTTGCAAAACCTGAGAGTGGTGTGCGGCAACATAAACCCTTTAAAAGCAATAATCGCTCTCCATTGTGGAAGGAATTTCGGTCCTCAACCTACCTATTCCAGTCACCCAGTCTTTTTAAATGCGGTTATTATTAGCTTAGTGCCTAGCACTGTCATGTAAATTTGTGATCTCTGCAGATGCCTTCTTAAACCACAACTCTCTCGTCCATTAGGCCCAAAGTGAAAACTTTGAAGTGCTGGGTTCTCTGCTGACAGACCTGAGCTTTGTGAGCGCTCACGTCCGGCTGGGTCTCCTCCACAGCCTCTCTGAGGCCTACGCACTCTATGGTGAGCCACTGATGCCCCTTAGTGGCTGGAATGGGGGTAGCAGTTCATAAGGTGCCATTGTCCTGGATTAGAGGTTTGGAGACTAAGCTGCTCTCTTCCTGACCGAGATGAGAAATTTGCAGGCTGGGTATTGGCAAAGCTGCTCCTGGGCTGGGCCAGAATGCACGGCAGCACTGCTGAAACGCGAAGGGTCGTTTCAGGTCAGATGGACATACTGAGATGTGAATTCATCCAGTCCGCCTCCATTGAAAAAGGATTCTTTGGCCTTTTCAGAGACTGTGTCTGACTTGGAGGTCGATGAGACTGTGAGGACCTTCCGGGCCTTCCTGCAAAGAAACATGGGGCTGCTTTCCCAGAATCCTCTGCTGCTTCTGCAGCAGGCAGCCAACGAACCGCACGGCTCATCGCTGTGTGTTCAGGCTATGAATGAGCTCATTGACAACGGGAGGCCTATCCTGAAATGGGCTAACAAGCCCCAGGAAGCTCAGAAGACCAACAGGTAATTCTACAAAGTATTTGCTGTACTTCATCTTTTCCTTTTTCTGTAAGGCTCACGGATCTTGTTTTGCTTCTCCCCCCACCCCACCTCTGATGCCCAACAGCCTTGTCCTGAGCCTGCCTGCCACTCCTTCTTGTGTCTCCGTTGCCCCTTCTGGAAAGCTGGCTGCTGTGGGCACTGCTGATGGAATCCTGCACCTCCTGGATATAGAGACTGGGCAGGTAAAAACCTGGTTTGATGTGTCCCACTTAATAGCACCCCCTCACATAACACATACTAAGTAGCTGCCAGGCCTAAATTGCCGCTTTGCGGAGAACATAAAAACCACTGGTCCATCTTGTTTGCACTTGATGGGCTGCAGTTATTCAGGGCTTCAGACAGTGGCATTCCCAGCCAGGGAATGCTGGGACCTTCTGCATTTTCTACCTGTGAGCCCAGGAGCTTGATTGACGTGTGTGTGTGTGTGTGTGTGTGTGTGATGGTTTACAAAGACTGTTCTGAAGTTCTGACGTGCCCCACATCCCTTCCCCAAATACCTAGGAACTTAAGTCCTTGCTGAGTGCTTGTGATGGGATCTCAGCCTGTGAGTTCCTGTCGGAGGTAACAGTCTGCCTCGGGGCCTTCAACGGACGCTTGGAGCTGTGGAGCCTGAGGGAAGGGTGCAGGTAAGCCTGTCCAAAATGGTGGTTTGAGCCGGTTCCATAGCACAGATGGTGACGGCTGCTCGTTGTTTACCTGTGAGGCAAAATGAGCAGTAGTGGTCTGACATGAGGTTGGCCGGAGGGAAATGTGTCCCATGGATCTGTAGTGCTGGAACAGCAGGCAGGGCACCCAGATTTAGATGTTCCTGACAAGGATCTGGCAGTCCACGTGCCAATTAATGGCAGACCCAGGAACAATGTATGTTGCAAGTTTCTTTCCTCATGACGTGTGTTTTTCGTTCTGTTATCAACATCCAGGTGGTGTTTAAAAACATTCCTGTATACCCAAGGATTTGATGATGATAATAATGATAATTTTATTATACCCTGCCCACCAGTCTGGGTTTCCCCAGCCACTCTGGGTGGCTCCCAACAGAATATTAAAAACATGATAAGACATCAAACATTAAAATCTTCCCTAAAGAGGGCTTCCTTCAGATGTCTTCTAAAAGTCAGATAGTTGTTTGTTTCTTTGACATCTGATGGGAGGGCATTCCACAGGGTGGGCGCCACTACCAAGAAGGCCCTCTGCCTGGTTCCCTGTAACTTTGCTTCTCACAGTGAGGGAACTGCCAGAAGGCCTTCAAAGCTGGACCTCAGTGTCCAGGCTGAATGATAGGGGTGGAGATGCTCCTTCAGGTATACTGGTCTGAGGCTGTTTAAAATGTATTTATTTTTATTTATTCATTCATTAGAGTGGGATAAAAATTTCGAGGAGAGCATTCCTGGGTCAGGCCGAGCCCAACATCCTGTTCTTCACATTGACCAAATAGATGCATGGCTCTGGGAAGTTTGCAAGCAAGACCTGAGGATAATCGAATCCAAAATGGCCACTGTAGCTAATTTGCTAATTCTTAATTTTTCCAGTATCTTCCATCCTGCTTCTTGCTTACTATTGCTTGACTAACTCAGCTGGGTGCCAGCTTTAAGTGACATGTTCCTCTTTTCGTTTTGCTCGCGGGGTGTTTAGGCTCATGGGCACAGATGCCCATAAGACCCAAATCACGGATTGCTGCACCAACGCTGGCTGCAAGCTGCTCGCGACTGTCTCCCTGGATGGCCACCTCAAGGTATTTGCTCTCTTCCAAACTTTTCCTTCCAACTTGTTTCTGTCCCAGCTTTGAGGGGGATGACGGCCATTTTGACAAAGGCCACATGCTAGAGCTCTAGTTTGAAAAGTTGAGGAATTCTGGAAACTGTAGTTTAAGAGTGCTGAGAGTTGTTAGGAGACCCCTATAGACCTCACAGAGCTACAATTTCCAGAGTCCCCTGGGAAGGTGGATTGATTGATAAACCACTCTGGGGATTGTAGCTCTGCCAGCAGTTTACTTGCATTATCAAGGTATGGAGGTGGGGGCAAATTCTTTCATGTGCAAGTGGTTACAGAACGCTTCCTTAAGGGACGGGGAAAATTTATGGATTGGCAGTAGTGACACTTTTATTTTTTTAACAGGGAAGGAATCCTTTTAGTATGCAGTAGCGATAACGCTTGTTTGTAATTTTCTTTTTTCAGCTCTGGGAATCTACTCATGGTCAGCTGACACATGAACGAGACTGCTTGTGTCCTTTGAACTGTGTGGCCTTTCACCCCGAGGGTCAATTGGTCGCCACCGGAGGGTGGGACAGAACTGTCACCATCCTGGATGCTAATGAGATGAGTGTGACCTCGGTGAGGAAGGGGGAAATATTCTAAATATTGTTGGTTAGGGGTGGGTTAAAGAGATCAAGACAATGAAAACAGAGGCAGCTTTCAGATTTAGTCTATTTCAGATCTGTGATCTCCAGATGTTGCCGAACTCCTATTAGCAAAGTCATTTAAATAACACAGCTGGAGTCTGGAGAGAAAAATATTGATAACACTTGACTGAGGAAAATGAACAAAGCAGCATATAATTTGAGAAACAGAAAATAGGGAGACGTTCAGCCAAATATACAGGGGAAAACTCTCTCAGAACTACACAGCCAATCAGAGCATGTGATACCTCACTAGAAATCATGCCACTCTGCTAAGCCTCCTCCGTACCTGGTTAGCTGTCTTATTGATAACAGAATTAACCTTTAAGTTACAAATTGAAGCATCCCTGCTGTTTCATTTCTGACAACCACAACTCCCCTGATCCATTGCCTCTGCTGGCAGAGGGGGCCGATGAGAGTTGCACTCCAGCCACATCTGCTGAGTCACAGGTTTCCCATCTTGATGCACCTCCTACAGAACGGAGCAGCTTTCTTGACTCCTGTTTCCCCTTACAGGTGATGAAAGGCCACGATGCCTCCATCCATTCCATTTCCTTCTCCTCGGCTGGAAATGTTTTGGCAGCAGGAACCCTGATGGGATCTGTCCATCTCTGGTCGTGGCAGGAGGCTGTTGTCTTGAAAACATTCTCAAGTCACTCGGGTTGTGTCTCTGTTGCTCTGTTTCTCCCAGGGGGTGAACTGCTCACAGCAGGAGAAGATTGCAAGGTGGTATTATTACTACTAATAATAATATTGTATTGATTGGGAACGGGTAGAATGTTGGGAAGAAGTATATGGAGATTTGGGTGTATCCTTTCCAGAATCTTGGGAATTGTAGCTCCATGGCGTGGTCACTCTTAACAAACTACAGTTCTCAGGATACTTCAGGAGGGCAGCAGGGAAGCTATGACTGTTCATACAAGGTGTGACCGGAAAGTTCGGTGAATGGTCACAGAAATCTTCAAACGTACAATCGGCATTGGAAACCCACAAAATGCTCACAATTGTGCATGGAGATGAAGCTGTAACTTGAAAGGCAGTGTGTGAGTGGTTTAAGCATTTCTGTGAAGGGCGGCAAACCATTGAAGATGACCCCCGGTCTGGCAGACCGTCAACGAGCAGAACGTCAGCAAACGTCGACAGAGTTCGTGAGTTATTGATGTGGGATCGGCCTTTGTCTGTTCAAATGATGGCGGAAGAATTGTATATTCTGTGTGAAATCAATACTGAGGTTACTGAGTTGTCCCATCCTCCATATTCTCCCCATCTGGCCCCACCAGATTTCTTTCCCCCCAAAACTGAAATCTGCACTGAAAGGGCACAGATTTTCCAACATTTCACACGTCCAAAGTGCTGTGACAAGGGAACTGAAAGCAGTACAAAAAGAGGACTTCTCCAGAAGCTTCCAACAGTTCTACGGACGTTGTCAACGGAGCATTGTATCAGAGGGGGCCTACATTGAAGGCCTGTAAGGCATGTACATTCGAATATTTCTCGCTGTCCGATTTCTGTGACCATTCACCGAATTTTCCAGTCACACCTTGTAGAATCACAGAATTACAGAGTTGGAAGAGACCCCTGAAGTGTTTAAGTGGGATAATAGTGCTTTAAACAGTGTGGATGCGGCCACTGAAGAGAGAAGAGTGTGTGTTAACATTGCAGGAGGGATCTCTTCTCAGTATGATGTGTGCATGTCTTTGTGCCTAGCATAACTGACTTTGTGCGTTCTGAGTTGCAGGTCCAGCTTTGGGCAGGTCACCAGGGGCAACTGTGGAATACCTTGCGGTCAGGAGTCTCCTCCCCAGCTCTGTGCACTGCAGCCAATCCCGATTGCAGCCGCTTGGCTGTGGGGTACCATTCGGGGGACCTCCGGGTCTTCACACAGCTTTGGCGTACGTTTTGCATTTGTCTCTTTAAGCCATTTGAATCCTCGACGAAACCCTGCGGCCTCCCATATGTTGTTGGATTTCCGCTCCCATCAGCTTGGCAAGAGCAGCCCGGTGGTCAGGGAATATGGGAGGTGCAGTCCAACAACATCTGAAGGGCACCATATTGGCTGTTCCTGGTGTTAATAATAATAATAATGATGATGATGTATATGCTGCCCATCTTACTTGGTTCCCCAGTAAGAATTGCTTCCCAGGTGCAATTCTATCCTGGAGGACTGGTCTTCAGCGGTCCCAAGTTCTTCCATTTTATTTCTGTCTCTCTTAGACGCTCCACTGCCCCACTGTGGTGCAACGGGGGTTGCTATCTGTAGCCTGGCCTGGCTGGACAGCCTCCACCTGGTTGGGGGCAGCAGCGACGGGTCCCTGTACGTCACAAACACCTACCAGTACAGCCGCCTTTGCCTCCGTAAGCTGCAAGGCCACAAAGGAGCCGTGACGGGCCTCGCCGTCTTCGAGAAGCTGGTGGCATCGGTGTCAGGTGATTTGGAGAAGAAGCCCCTGGTGGGAGGCGTTACGTTGCTTGCCTTTCTCCATCCTTGCCTCTCCTTAGGGCTTCAGCCAGAAGCTGTAGATGAAAGGAAGGGAGAGTTTGCAGGGCTGGATAATGCAGGGGTTGATTTAGACGACCTAAGTAGCTTCTCTTTTGCCTTGCAAACTGCATGACAGTGGAAGGAGAGAGGGAAGCTTGTAGTAAGAGGCAGAGCTGATGCCGCCTTTGGGCTTAGGCTCCGATTATCATGTGGGCCCATTGTGTTTTTCCCCCCGTCTGAAAAACCTTGGCGATCCACTTTCAGTCATTGTAGGACTACATTGAGTTTAGATGGACCCAGGGTCTTATATTCTTATCTTCCTCCAATTCCTTTCTTCCTTCCTTTTTCTCCCTCTCCCTCTCCTGTTGTATTCTGGCTATACCAGCCTACTTGAGAACCGCTTGTGTTGAGATTTCTCCAGAGCCTAGGAAGTGATCGGTGCCTCAGGGATGGGTGCCCCTCCCTGGCTTGCTTCTGCACTTTCTAGAATAGGCCTTCAAAAAGTTGGCTTTCTTTGCTGGCCCGGTGACTTGGCTGGAAATGAAAGTGGAGCAACTTCTATCAGAGCAACTAGGGCCCTGCATTGTCAAAGTCTATGGGGAGAGCAAAGGCCAGAGACCTAGACGGAAGCAGCTTGCTGCAGTCGCCATGTTGTTAGGGGTGTCCATGGCAAAGGAGAAGCTGGCTGCACAGCCCTGTCTTCCATCTGGGTCAGTGAGGACTGAGTAGAGTCCTGAGGGTCAGACATAGAGGCCTGGAGGCCTCCCCTCGTGATCCCTCAGTCTGAGGCCACAATTTTTTCACCAGAAGTCCCCCCATCTTCTTTTTCTCTTTTCTAGAGGATTTCACTGTCCAGCTGTGGCTTTCAGAGACTCTGAGACCAACGGATCCTGCTGCAGATGCTGACATCCTGCCCCTTGCTGTCCTCCGGGGTCACACCGGGGGGGTTACATGCTGCGCCTTCAGCCTTGACGGCCGCTACCTTGCCACGGGAGGCAAAGACCGGGTGAGTAAGGCAGCCTTGTCTTGAGGAGAGGGCTCCTCCGCAAGGCCCAGCAGTGGTGGCACAGAGCAGCTTCCTTGATCTTCCCCTTGCAATGCACACCTTTGAATAGATGTTGATATGCGCTCAGAGCAATTGTGAGGCTCAGCTGGCCTAACTAATATCTCAGTGGGCAAGCCTGTGCACCAAACGAGATGCCCCAGAATCCTTTGCAACATACTTCTTGGCAGAGGAGATGCTGTGGCAGAGGCAGAAAGCCCTTTTCAGCCTAAGGGGGGGTCACATTGCCTCTGAGGCAACTTTTTGAGGGCCACATGCCAGAGTTAGAAGCGAGCAGAGCAACAGGTGTGAATTTTGCCTCTTGTGCAGTGAGCAAGTGTCTGTACCCATGTACCCCGCTCGGTCCTACATTCAGTCCAGCAAGCGGTACTGTCAGAGTTCAGTGACACACATTCTAGCCAGGCAGAAGTATTCAAGGGACGGTGCAGAGCAGGGACATGGAGTGGGCGTGGCCCGAGGAGAGTCCTGAGGGCCACACAGAAAAACCTAGAGGGCCACATTCGGCTTCCAAGCCAGAGGTTGGTCATCCCTGCGATATGAAAAGGCAGAAAGTGTGTGGGGGGGAATACTGCTTTTGGAGGCGGAGCAGAGTAAGGAACAGGGCAAAAGTCTGGTGTAATGTTAACAAAACGTAGGTTCTTATTTTATTTTTTCCACTGTGTTCCGCTCTGGTTTTCAGGCCTTGTTTCTCTGGGATGTCAGGGACCCCTCCCAGAAGACCCCTTCCCTCTGGCGCTCCATGCTTTTCTGCCACCAGGACTGGATCTCCTGCTGCGCCTGGGCAGGCCCCATGTTGGTGAGTTTGGATGGCCACTGCACGGAGTGGGTGGGTAGGTGGGCTTTTCATGCACGAAGAATCCCAGAAATGGAGGGGGGAGGACCAAACAGAGGCAGTTTACGGCCCTTCCCAAAGGGCAGGCCTGGGCACCCACCTATTTAACCTAGCAGCTCTTTGCAGTAGCTCATCCTGCATGCAGTTGGCTCCTACATGCAGTGAGTGGGGAGGAAAGCTAGTGTTTGGGCACAAGGGGAGCTAACAAGCTGCTTTTGGGTCGTCTTGGACTCCCAGCTCTCATCAGTTGCAGCCAGCAGGGCCAATAGTGGACATTTATTATTTGGATTCAAAGGACAGCCCAGTAGGGATGGGAAAAGGCAGAAATTTCAATTCTGGCCTGTATTCATCATACTTGTCACCGTTTCCATTACGATGCAGTTTGGTTTCTGCTAAACACTACGTGTCTTCTGTTAAACATAAATTACAAAACTGTCTATATAACTTACGTAACTTACATTTATTTGAGTGTCAAAATGATGGCAAAAAGTCGTCAATTACATATCCTTTGTGGACTTCCAAACAACGTGAATGAATCCCATTTGACTAATTTCTGTTCCTGACAACAGGCAGACATGTGAATTGCAGCATTTGTTCACTTCCTTTTCTACGTTCCTCTGAATTCTCTGGCATCCCTAGGTCCCGGAGCAGGCACCAGTGAAGGGCCCTTGTCAGGGTGCTGGGACGGTGGCAGCTGCCCCAAGGATGCTAGGTGCTGATACTGGCCTTGATGTGTTTGGTACCCTGGTGATAACTTGCCGGCTGATTAATTGGAACATCTGATTCCTCCTGTCATCTTCCAATGGGGAAACTGAGGTGGTTGGGAGTATCACCCACAGCAGGTCTCCTAAATTTAGCAGCCTCTGGTGGACATCCCACCATTTCTAACTTCCTGCCTGTCCTTTGCGTTCTTCCCCAAACAGCTCACAGGCTCCAACGACTGCACCGTCTGTCTCTGGGATCCCAAAACTGGCCAGCGCCTCCAGGAATTCCTGGGCCACCAAAGCCCAGTATGCAGTGTCACGAGTGAGGTAGGCAATAGAATCCTTCTGAGGCTCCGTCCTTCATTTTTCTACCTTGGCCCTAGACGCTTTCCTGAATTTTCCAAAGCACACTGGATTGGGCTTTGCGGCCTCTAAAATGAAGAGGTGGCAAGTCATGGAACGTCCTCTTCATCATCTGCCTGAAATGGCACCTGAAGGGGCAAACCAGATGTCACATTAAAGACATGTTTGCTTTTAGTGTGCATATTTTTCTGGGTGGGGCTGGAGGGGGTTGTGCTCCAAAACCTCTGGGGAGTGCCAGGGTGGGTGAAGGCTGCAAACAGCAACGGCGGTGGGTGGGAGAGAAGCTTATCTAGGTTGCAGCAGGTGTGGAGGGGAAACTTCTCGCCTTCTCTTCCCCTCCTGAAGAGAATCCCTCCTTTTTTGGAAAATGCCATATTTGCATTGGGAGGAAATCTCCTACAGATTCCAGCTGCCACAGCAAATCCTTACATTGAAAAGCAAAAACAAAGAAACACTGCTGTACAGGTTAAATCAGAGCGTTGCAGAAAGTTGGAAGGCACCAAGAGCTGGTTTATCTAGTGCAGACCCCTGCAATGCAGGAATCTCTTGCCCAGCTTGGGGTTGAGCTGTCTTGCATCTTACCATGTTGCATAAGGTGACCTTGAGTGTCTTATGGATGTCATTAAAAAAATCTCAGTGCTGTTCCCAGGTCCATTCTAGTCTCCCTAGCTCTATGATTGCCCTTGTCTCTGTGGCCTATCCTGCCTTGGCTCCCCTTTGACACAACCAGTCCTTCAGCCTGGGGTGGAGAAACCCTTTTTTCATCCTGGGGGCCACATTTCTTTCTGGTCAGGCTTCCTGAGGCCAGTGGTGGATGGGGCCAGAGGCAAAAGTGGGTGGAGCAACAAATGTAAATCTTCCCCGCACAACGCCCTCTTCTCCGTCCATGCAAGCAAGAAGCACTATCAAGAGTGCAAGGGCCTGTTCCATCCAGGAAAAACCAGTTGGGGCAGTGAAGTGAGGGGTGTGGCACTTGGCCCTGCGGTTCCCCATCCCTGCCTTAACTCTGTGCATGGAACGCTTGTTGCAGTCGTCCTCTGGATAAATATGCGTGGCCTTGGTTCATCCCTTGTTGACCGCTACTCTTTCTGGTTCCTGTGACAGAAAGAACATGTCTTCTCCGTGGGCAGGGATGGGATGCTGGTGGCGTGGAACCAACAGGGGCTGGAGATGACTCGCTTCTTGGCTCACCCTGACCGGGCCAACCACTGTGCAGGCTTCAGAGATCCGCGTAAGATACTTCAGCCACCACTTTTTGAAAATCCAGGGCAGGGAAATGAGCTCTGAAATTCTGGTCTCTGTTACTTGACCATATGATACATATGATAAATGCATATTTGCATTTATTTTAGATGAGCATATGGTTAAGGTTCACACGGATATGTACAAGTTTGAATGCTCAAATTGTTCACTGTCCAAGTAAGGTATTGCAAGCAGCCCTTTCAAGACTGTAGATCTGAGCTGCCTAGCAGATTTTGAACTTGGTAATGTAAGAATACCAAGGTCTGACAGGGGGCTGTGGGTAGCTGAGCAGCTTGGCCTCTCTGAAGAAGCTTAGCTTAATTACGTGACTGAAAACAGAAGACCTTTCTTTGGTTCCTGCAAAGTCACCTGTGAGAAAGTTGGCTGTTTTTAGTTGCCAGTTAGATGAGGAAGATTTTAGTGAATGTGGAAATAATAATAATTTTATTATTGGTCAGATATGATTTTATAAATAGCCAGAATTAAAGAAAAAATGTGAAAACAGATTTTCAAAGTGGGAAAGTATTGCCCTTAAAGTTGGGGAGTGAGGGGTATTGTCACTTGGAACAGCTGACCTGCTTTTTGCCCTCTACCCTGCCTTCATAAGCATTCTGTTAGTACATTTCTTTTTTTTCTTTTTTCTTTTCACAGGGGAAAAAGAGTTTATTTTGGCTGCAGCTGGCGGTGATGGCACAGTGAAACTTTGGAAGCCCCTGAAGGTGAGAGATGGGAGGAGTGTGTGTGTGTGTAGATTTGATGTACTAAACATTCGCCAACCTTGTTCTCTCCAGATATTTAGACTACAACTCCCACCAGCCCCTAGCCAGTGCCCTGTGCTGTCTGATGGGAGCTGTAGTCCAGAACATCTGGAGAGAGCACCAGGTTGGCAAAGGCTGCCCTAAACAAAAATGCCCTTGGAAATTTGGCTGGTGATTTGACAACTCAAAGACTCTGCAGTTACTTGCGTTAAGGGCAGCCTGTTATCCATAGTTGCCTAATAAATATCTTAACATTTACCTGTTAGGCTATATTCCCACCCACCCCAAAAAACAACCCACAACCTCTTGGCTACACTTGTAAGGCTGGGCAAACCAGTCACAGCAGCAGTTCAAATGTCTCCTATATCACCTCTTCTGAGGCTGTGTGCCCGATACACCCTTTAAAGCACATTCCAAGCGCACTCTTTCCCTCACAGGAGTCTGGGCACAGTAGTTTACCCCTCACAGAGGGACAAATCTCAGGAGCCCTTAACAAACCACAGGACCCAGAATCCTCTGAGGGAAAGAGTATGCTTGGCATGTTCTTCAAAGGCACACCCTGGGCTTGCCTGCCTCTCACAAATAGGGCATGCATGAGGGGAAATTGACAAAAGTTGGCTGAACTTCAGAGCTGCTGGAACACTTACTGAGTACTAGGTTAGAAAACAGCTTACCTGATGGATCAACCTTTAGCTATTCTAGTTGTTAGTGGATAGGAGCCAACCTGGTCTGCCCTGGACCTACACCATAATAATCTTTCCCGCGTGGGCAACTCTTGGCACCTAGACCCAAGCCCTGTTCTGCCTCCCAGCTCCTTGCTCACTCGTTTCCTGTTTCCTCGCAGCTGGCGGAACCTGACGTCTTCCCTGGCCACTGCGCTGCCATCTGTGGGGCTGCTGCTTCCCCAGCATCTTCCTCTTTCCTGACAATATCCAAAGACAACACAGTCCGAGTGTGGGCCGTCCCCAAGGAAAAAGGTTAGTAACTGGGGGGGGGGGCTGCTCACAGCTCCCTGCATTTGTGGGTCAAACCAAAAGCTTGGCTGGGTCAGAGGAGCCCAGTTGCTTGTGTTTTGTGTCCGTTACCAAAGAGCCCATCTGCCTTATACCGAGGGAAGCCATTGGTCCACCTAGCTCAGTATTGTCTATGTGGATTGGCTCTGGGCTCTCCAGAAATTCAGGCAGATTCTTGCTAGCCCTCCTTGGCGATTGAAACCGGGAGCCTTCTGCATGCAAGGCAGTTAAGCTCTCCCACTGAGCTTACAGGCCTCCCCACGCTTAATGACCAATTTGGGTGTGTTCGTTTGGTGCCAGAATTGTGTGTCCACACGATTAAACCAGCTGTGTTTGGAGTGGAGGGTGGAGAGATTTCCAGCTGACCTCTCACGACGACACATTGTGGCTCCACCCTTTCCCCTCACTGTGCACATTAGGGTCGCACAAACCATCCATTTCAAGCACACACCCCAAGAATCCTACGAACTACCCCTCACAGAGATACAATTCCCAGTGGCCTGGACAAACTACGATTCTCAGCATTCTTGGGGAAAAGTTGCATGTGTGCATGTGACCAAATACACTTTTTAAAACTGCAAATTGGTTGGTCCCAGCTGATCGTTGTCTTGCTGAGCTGTTTCCCCCCTTGCTCACCAGTAGGAGCCGCCAAAGACCTTCCCACTCACCAGGGTGCCGTCACGGCCTTGGCCTGGTCCCCCGATGGGGACTTCGTTGTGTCTGGTGGGGAACGCGGAGACCTGGTCCTCTGGCACAAAGCCAAGGCAGTGGAGAAAGTGAAGGTAAGCCCAAGGGTGCTGGACTCCCCAATGTCATCTGAAGGGCCACAGCTTCCTCACCCCTCACCTCTCCATTGCCGGAAAGCAGGCTTGGAGGGAGAAGCTGCCACCTGGTGGCCAGAAGAGGGACTTGCAAACTGAGAATCATAAGAGTTGGAATGGACTCTTGAGGGTCATTCAGTCCCAACCCCCTGCAGTGCAGGGATCTTTTGCCCATCGTGGGGCTCGAACCCACGGCCCCAAGATTGAGAGTCTTGTGCTCTACCAACTGAGCTATCCAAATGCACCTTAGGCTTCGTCCGGCCCTTCGGTATAGCAAACCATTGCATGAGTGGCTTTGCTTCTTTCACCATCCAGGCTGGCCAGCGTTGCATCAGTGCCTTAGCCTTCACTTCCAGCCGCACCATCCTTGTGGCAGCTGATGGGATCAGCCTCTGGTACATAAGCAGGCAGCGCGATGGAACCATCAGGTAAGTTTGCACAAACCGTCCCAGGACTGCTGGGTCTCCATTGTGAGCCACTTGTCCTGGGAGTGCCTGACTGCACAATGGAGCTCTCAGCCCCATAACCAAGAGAGAGCTCCTCCAGGTCTTTGCTTCTCCACAGCTGTGTCTCCACAGCATGTCGCTGATCCTGAGTTTTTTTGTATTCTTCTCTCTCTGTGTATTTCTCCCTTTTCCCATTGCACAGCTTGACCCGCAGGAAGTGCCTGCGCCAAGCAGAGGAGTCTTCTGCGCTCTGTGTGGGGGTGCTCAGGCCCAGCGGCCCCATAGTCCTAGGAATGGCCGACGGAGACCTGCTGGTGCTGCAGCCTGGAGCCGAGAGCTTCCAGCAGAACCCGTGAGTTGGAGGAACGGCGGCCCTCGAGGGGCTGGGGGAAGACATCTCTGGGTGGTGGAACAGTCTTCCTTCCATGGCTCCAATGCTGATCTTCTTCATCTCCATCCCAGATACACAGACAAAGTGTGGGATATCCAGCAGCACGTGAGCTTTGACATATCTGTGTCCGAGGACGAGGAGGAGGAGGGGCATATCTTTCATATCTGGGACTCTGTGCACAGCCCGACCTTGTTCAAGATGGTGAGTGGCCACTGGGGCAAGGCCCAGGTGGGAATCGCCACAGGATTTGGCCAATTGCTGAGCTCTGCCCTGCCAGGCTGCATCTACCTGCATGTTGTTGTTGTTGTTTAGTCGTTTAGTTGTGTCCAACTCTTTGTGACCCCATGGACCAGAGCACGCCAGGCACTCCTGTTTTCCACCGCCTCCCGCAGTTTGGTCAAACTCATGCTGGTAGCTTCGAGAACACTATCCAACCATCTCGTCTTCTGTCATCCCCTTCACCTTGTACCCTCCATCTTTCCCAACATCAGGGTCTTTTCCAGGGAGTCTTCTCTTCTCATGAGGTGGCCAAAGTATTAGAGCCTCAGCTTCGGGATCTATCCTTCCAGTGAGCACTCAGGGCTGATTTCCTTAAGAATTGATAGGTTTGATCTTCTTGCAGTCCATGGGACTCTCAAGAGTCTCCTCCAACACCATAATTCAAAAGCATCAATTCTTCGGCGATCAGCCTTCTTTATGGTCCAGCTCTCACTTCCATACATCACTACTGGGAAAACCATAGCTTTAACAATACGGACCTTTGTTGGCAAGGTGATGTCTCTGCTTTTTAAAATGATGTCTACCTGCATAACCCCCGCTTATCATTGGTGGATTGATTGCATTGACATCACACCTTTTTCTCAAAGGGAGCTCAAGGTGACTTTTATGGTTCTCCCCCATTTCATCCCCACAGCAACCCTGTGAGGTAGGCTAGAGGAAAGTGGCTGGCCCAGGGAGCTCCATGTGGGGGACTTGAGCCCAGGTTTCCCAAGTCCTAGCAGAAACTATGTATAAAGTCTCCTGATCCCTTTAACACTTTGAAAGAAGTGCCCAGGGATAATATCAGCTCAGAAAGCAGCTCCATTGGTGGCACATATGTGTCTCTGTGTGCAGGCCTCAGGCCTGGGGGGGTGGGCAAATGTGGCTCTGCAGGCCTCCCCAGATTGCTCATCCCACATCTGAGCTTCCCCGCTACCCACCCTCATTCCAGGTACCCGTATTTTTCGCTCTATAACACGCACCAGACCTTAACACGCACATAGTTTTTAGAGGAGGAAAACAATAAAAAAAATATTCTAAACGAAATAGTGGATATATGATTTTTGTGGTTCATGCTGTGGCCACAGACATGTGATCTGACAGTGAGTTTGGAGTAGCCCAATGCAAAAATCCTGAGGATCCATTTGGATCCATGCTTTGTAACCACGGAGGAGGGAAGGAAGGAGAACCATGGATCCTCTGCTCACGACTGCAGCAGATCCCCCCGGCCACCCGCAGGCATTCGCTCCATAACACGCACAGACATTTCCCCTTACTTTCTAGGAGGAAAAAAGTTAGTGTTATGGTGCAAAAAATACGGTACTTCCGGTGATGTCTGGTTTTTGCAGGAATTGTTCCACCTAGCTGTCCAGTCCAAAAGGAGATCCTGCAGCTCAGTTGTCATTGTGGCACGGCTTTCTCAGTTGTTCTGTGATGTTGTGCCTTTGGTCTGACCAAGCTCAGAACTCCTAAGTCAGGTGGGAGGTGGGTCTTCTGCCAGGAGAGGCCTGCTAATTTCTTGAGTTGCCCTTTCCTCACCAGAGCCGTCTTCTGTTTGTTCCTTTAGAGGGTAACCGAATCTGGGAAGTTAGAAGACACAGACGCCCTGGAGAAGATACCATGGGTACCCAAAAGGCCCTCTGTTTGGGTTACTGTTGCCCGGCAGGTCAAAGGTGAGGCTGAGACCAGGTTCCTGCTTATCCCGGTCTCAGTTTTATGTTTTTTTTGAGAGAGACTTTTGCTCAAGCAAAATGCCACTCTTGTGCTCAGAACCTTCTTGTTGCTTAATGTTGTGCAGACATATTTGAAAATCTGGGGGCGTCCCCTGCTTGGCAGCCCCAGAGGAGCCCGTGTTGATGGCCTGCCTCTGGAATGAAATCACATTTAATGGGCTTAAAACATTTGATATCTAAGATTCCAACGAGGTGCAATGATTTTGTAGGTTGTAACTGGGTGGAGAGTGGCATGGTGCAGGGGTAGCCAAAGGTCACGGTCCCTAAAACTCCAGACTGCAATTCCCATAGGCCTCAGCAAGCATGGAAGTTGTATTAAAATGAGATCTGTCAGGCACCCTATTGGCTACTCCAGCACAGAATATAAAAAGCCCTGTAAAAGACAGCAGAAATCAGTTTGCATTAGAAAGGTGGATGCGTAAGTGGTAGATTTTGGATACGGGCTTGTGGGTACCTGGTTGGCCACTGTGAGAACAGAATGCTGGACTATAGGCCTGATCTAGCCGAGCTCCAGCCGATTTGAAAGGAGTGGAATTAGGGTTGGAGACAGAGATGCACTCTTAATTCTGGCTTTTCCATTGGGGCAGGTAAACTCCTATTATGTGCAGACTCTGAAGGATGCCTCTGGACTCAGACCCGGCAGACTGAGGAGAGAGTGGATAAATGGAAGGCTGACGGCTGGCAGAGGAAGAAGGCAAGTCCTAGGGATGGGGGGAGAAGATAGGATGAATGGGGACCCACCTGCGCCTGAATCATCAGCCTGAGCAGCGAGCGGGATGCCCCCTGGGTGCAATTTTGAGTCACGTGCCTGTGGAAGTGACAGGGATTTTGAGCCCTTGCCTACCTCTGGGGCCTGATCCAGTTTGGAGATGCTTTCTTAGAGTTCACTTGCAGTGCATCCACATCTAGGGGAACTGCAGTTCTGTAAAGGAAGGTCGTTTTAGGTCTCTTAGCAGGAAAATCTAAGCTTCCTCGACAAACCTACAATGCCCAAGGTTATGCAGTGTAAACCAAAAGAGCAGAAGTTGCTTACCAAACAATCTTATGTTTGTGGCATGGATGCAGTTTGTTCTTCTGGTGGAGCAGGAAAATCCTGCCCTGTGGGGAACAGTGAAAAAGTCCACTGGAATTCTGCCGACTTTGCTGTTTTTGTACCGCAAACCAGACTCTTACTTTACATGCTATTTTTTAATGAGATTAAATTGCCCTGAGTGCATTGCATACATTCATCATGCTGCATTTAGACTGGCTTGTTTTTAAAATGTGAACCACTTTGAACACAGACGTATTTTAGTAAATGCAGTGTAATAGTTAGTAGACTGTGAGAATGCAAAGCGACTTTAAAAATGCACTCTGAGTTTGAGAACTGTGACTTCCTTAATTGTCCTTAATCCTCAGGGTCACAGAGAGGGTGGGGTAAGGCAGTGTGATCTCTCTCCCCCCCCCCCCCCGTGGCCCCAAGGAAGCACATTCCAAGCCCTAGCAGACTTTTAAAAAAAATTCTTCTGGGTCTGTTGTTACTAGATTCACAGTGACAAAATCACAGCCCTGCATGTCCTCGGAGACAGGATTGTAACAGCATCACATGACCGAGATGTGAAGATTTGGGATGGCAACACTATGAAACTGGTGAGTAACTTCACACTCCCCTTCCTCTCGCAGTGGGACATTTCTTACATCACACTTTTAGTATGTTTATGTTCCAAAACTGGCACAGTTAGGGTGTTTGGACTAGAGCTGTCCAATATAGACACACCATAAAGCACATGGCTTCCTCCAAAGAGTCCTGGGAAATATAGTATAAGGGCTCTGGGAGTTGTAGCTCTTTGAATAGTTAAACTACAGTTCCCAGGATTCTTTTGGGGTAAGGAGTCATATCTTGTATGCCTTAGTGTTTTTTGTTTTTTTTAAACTTGGCTATCAATTTGCTTCAGGATATAAATAAAGCACTATATATATATGAATTCGAGGGACGCGAGTGGTGCTGTGCATTAAACCACAGAGCCTAGGGCTTGCCGATCAGGTCGGCGGTTCGAATCCCCGCGATGGAGTGAGCTCCCGTTGCTCGGTCCCTGCTCCTGCCAACCTAGCAGTTCAAAAGCACGTCAGAGTGCAAGTAGATAAACAGCATTTCCGTGTGCTGCTCTGGTTCGCCAGAAGCAGCTTAGTCATGCTGGCCACATGACCTGGAAGCTCCCTTGGCCAATAAAGCAAGATGAGCGCCACAACCCCAGAGTCATACGCGACTGGACCTATTGGTCAGGGGTCCCTTTACCTTTTTGTATTAATTCAACAAACCTAACCTCTTCCCCATCTTTCATTTCTGTATACAAAGCTTTTCTCCTAACCCTTCCTTGTTCTCTATCCTGTTTTCTTTACACAGCTGGGCCAGTTCCGATGCCATGGGCCAGTTTCACAGCTCCAGCCTTGGATCGATGCAGACTCCTCCCTTTTTCTCTACGCGGGTGACACTCTGGGCAACGTTTACTCCTTAGAGTGGGGCTCCGTCTCTGCTTGAGGGATGCGTCTTCCTGAGGGGAGCTCCTGCCAGCAGCCTCTTAAGCCTGGCACTTCTCCTTTCCAGACATGAATGCAGCTGTTTCGCTGCTACCTCCTCAGCCTTGCCCCAACCCTCTCAGCAGCTGGAATCTGCAGATCCCGCATGGCTTCTGTAGGCCACAAAGATCAGATAACTGTGTGAGTAACCACCTTAGAAACCTGGCTGGAGTCTGGGTTTGAAGCCAGTCAAGCTTTGTAGCTCCCTTCTACCTAACACCAGAGTTGAAAAACAAGGGCTAAATCTATTGTGTGTACAGATTTCCCCTGCGCCCCCTTTGCCTTCAAAATACTGTGATGACAAATTTGCAACCACTGATGCCTTCTGTATAGTGTTTTTATTTTGCTAATGTGCCTTCCCTTATTTTACAAGTCAATTAAGAAATAAAATGGAGCAATGTCAACCATTTTTGTGTTCCTCTGTGCTAAAGAACCTGTACTTAGTAAACAGTGAGGAGCAGCAGGGCTGAGAAATGGCAACGTGGGCTGGGCGCTGCGCTTCGAAGCCTGGATATTGGGCCTTCAAGGTGCAGCATAAGGGCATCTTTGAAAGTCCCTGTGCTTTGTGGCAAGACTTCAGAAGCTCCTTTTGGCTTGGCCGGCTCACCTTTTTACTTGTCCCCCGTGACATCCTATGCAGTTGACAAAAGGGTTCGTGTGACCAAAATTGCCTCCTGGGCTGAAACTCTGCTTTAAGGCATGGAATGGGGAAGCTTTCTGAGACAAGAGGCCCCCATTCTTTCATTGCATGCCTTCCTGGGAGGAGGGAGAGAACATGCCAGTAGAGACTGAGGCCACCACTCCACAACCATATAGCAAGAAGGGGAGTCCTGTACCCCCCTGACACTCAGCTGACTGGGAAACACCCAGCAAAGGAGGCACCTGTGCCTTTGCAATCCACTGTTTCAAGGGCCTTGAGGCATCACCTTCCTTCACCCTCTCTCCTCGTCTTGCTTCAAGGTGATTCCAGAGCACTTGGCAAGCATCAGAAGAGGCGTGTTACTACTAAACCGATCTGCAGAAACAGCAGTTGTGGGCTTAGAAGGGTGAGGAAATGGGTGATGCACCTTAAACCCCAAGGGTGGGAAGGGCTTTTGAAATGACTTGAGAAAGGCTTTGCAGGCCTACAGCCCACTGCTGCTCCAAGGCCTTAGTTGTTCCACAGTCTTCCTAACACAACACCATAGCCTGCTTTCTACAAAAGGGGTGCCTTCGTCAACTCCCTTAACAAGGCCAGTGTATTAAATCAAGTTTTAATCAACTGCACTCTAGGAATAAAATTCTATGGAAGGAGGTCAAGTTTTCAAGTCTCTCGGCTTGAAGGCACTTGAGACGTCAGCTTGGGAAAAAACGAGGCCTGTGGTTTTTCTGCTGCCGTCCTCCTCTGCATCGCCTGCTGAACTTCACCAGAGCTGGGTGAAATTGAAGCGCACCTTGAGGAGGTACTTCATGCGCACCTGCCGTGGGTCGTAGACAATGAACTCGTTGTAGTTCAGGGTGTAGCCGTTGGGGTTCACCACCCCGGTTTCTGCAGCAGGGCCCAGGGGGACCAGAGACCCATGGCTGCCAGGGAAGGAAAAAGAGAACACAGTGTTTAGAAATTCATGTTGCACAGAAGCACCCATGTTCCTTGCCTGCGCCAGGAGTGTTTTTAATCAGAGATCTAGTTACAGGTAGGTAGCCGTGTTGGTCTGCCGTAGTCGAAACAAAATAAAAAAATTCCTTCCGGTATCACCTTAGAGACCAACTAAGTTTGGTATTGGTATGAGCTTTCGTGTGCAAAATTAGTTGGTCTCTAAGGTGCTACCGGAAGGAATTTTTTTAATTATTCAGAGATGCATGGAAACGCCCTGGTCCACAAATCTCTCTGCTGCCTTAAGGACAGCCTTTGAATTTTCAGCCAGGTAGGATTCCTCCACCCACCCCAAACTCACAGTGTTGTGCTGTTGGCTGGGGATGGCGCCATCTTGCCAAGCCCTTTGGTGCAATGTTTGTTGGCCAGCAGTTTCTCTGCTTCGGGGTTTGCCTCCAACAGTTCGTTGCATTCGCCCAGAGCTACCTGCAGAGGCGGGAGAGCAGAACTTCAGCCCCAGCTCATGCATACATCACTTGAATATTTAAAACACTGTAGCGGAACTCCTGTAAATGGCCTCTAATCTGAGAAGCGAACAGAGGAAGGAGGAATATGTGGTGGTGATGGGTTGTGGGGATACTGGTTTTACAAGGTTGAGCCCCAGGTCTGGCCCAGGCACATCTCCCCCTTTCCCTTGCGCTTTTTAAAAGTTAAAATGGTGTTGTTGTTTTTTAATGTAATATGTCCAGTTGGCCTGTAAGCAATGTATGAGGTAGTGCCATCTCAGCTCACTACCATCTTAACTGCACAGAGGCACGTGTTTTAATATTAGTTATCAGTTCTTGCATTTGGATCCCAAAGAGCTCAGAGTGGGGGACATTGTTCTCCCCCATCTCACTTACTCCCCACAACAACCCTGTGAGGCAGCTTAGGCGAGGCAGTGCCTCGGCCCAAGTGGCAATTTGAATCCTGGTCTCTCCCAGGTCCTAGTCAGATGCTCTAACCACTATGGCTAATTTGTACTGAACCAGCAGTTCTTGCCAGTAAGCTAAAGGCTAGTCAGAGGGTTCAATCCATCCACCGTCTACAGAGCCCGTAACACCCCGCTGTCACTCCTCAACTCAGCAACAAGTCCTGCCAGCCAAAGTCTCTCTTCCCCTCCGAAAGTCAGCCTAAACTGGGCCTATACTCTGCAAATTTGAATCACAGGGCTGCCCCACCCCAAGTCTTTTATGTACTTATTTACACTCCAGGGAAGGCTAGAGCTGGGGTAAGCAGTTATTTTGGACTACAGTCCCCTTCATTCCCCTTTTTTCTTTTATTAATTTTTACATAAAGTTTCCAAAAACATACAACACATTTTCTTATCTTATACAATGTTTTGGACTTCCATCCACCACATCTGAAGATTTTTCAGTCTTTATCACTTAATCTGCATTTCATTAGTTTCACTGTTATTTTTAATTGTCCTTCACTAATAATTCTCTTCATGCTTTTCTCTGCAATACTTCACACAGACCTCCTTACAAAACTTCTTGTAGTCCTACTAGCGTAATCTGCTGATTACAATTGCTTTTCAAATAATTCACATATTTACTCCAGTCCTCTGAGAATCTCTGATCCTGCAGGTTTCGAATCTTTCCTGTCATTTTATCTAATTCTGCATAGTCCATTAATTTCGTCTGCCCTTCATTCCCGTTTTTTGTGTGCATATAAATTGTGGGTTTTTTAATTAGTTTTGATACTGCTTAGTATTAAAACACCTCTAAGCAGTGTGCACACAAACACAAAAAACCCCCTGAAGAAACAACAGACAACTTAAAATGAAACATTACAAAAACACACAGTTACATATAAAACCCGGAGCTGATGGGAATTGTAGTCCACATGTACAGGCGCTCCTTGCCCCCTCCCCCCAAAATGGGATGCAGATCTCACCTCCGACAGCAACAGCAAGCCGACGTCTTTCTCACGGGTGGCAAAGCAGTAGTTGGCGCTCTTGGAGGACATGTCGGCGAAGTAGATCCCTTTCCCAAACTGGAAGGGAAGGAAAGGAAGGTCAGTAAGTCAGCCCTGCCATGAGGTGAGCCAGGAAAAACAGGCCAAGAGCTCAGCAGAGGACAAAGTGGGGAGACTCACCATGTAGCCAGTGACGGGGGCTTCCGGGGGGGCCACCCGCAACCCGCGACTCAATATCCCTGCCCAGTTGCCCAGGCGCGATCCGTGCCACAGCAGTGTCCTGAGAAAGGGGAAGAAGCCCAGAAGAGAGACAAATCACAATGGGGATCTCTAGGTTGAGAGCCAGCATGGTGCCTCAACCTGTGGGTCCCCAGATGTTGTTGGACTACAACTCCCATCATCCCTGAGCCTTGCTAGCTAGGGGTGATGGGAGTTGTAGTTCAACAACATCTGGGGACCCACAGGTTGAGAAAGGCTGGATTAGAGGTTACAGTGCTGGGCTAGGATTTCAGGGGGGTTGGACTAGATGAGCCTTGGGGGTCCCCTTCCAACTCTACAATTCAAGAATGATATGACTCATGAGAGCCAGGTTCAAATCCCCACTCGAGTCATGAAGCTCACTGCAAGACCTTGGGCCAGTTGCTCACTTTCGGGCTAACATACCTCGCAGGGTTGTTGTTGTGGGAAGAGAATAATAGCGCTGTAGAGTTGGAAGGGACCCTGAGGGTCATTTAAGTCTAATCCCCTGCAATGCAGGAATACGCAGCTGTCCCATACGGGGATCAAACCTGCAACCTTGGGGTTAGAAACACCATGCTCTAACCGACTGAGCTATCCAGGACGGATATGTAGGCCACACTTTTGAGCTTCTTGGGGGAAAGGTGGCCTATATAAATGCAATAAATAAATAAAAACAAGCTCAAGTGGGGTGTCTCTCTTTCCCCCCACCCCACTCCTTCCACTCACCGGTTGGGGAGGTCAGAGCGGAAGGTCGAGTCTGGATCGGAGCCCTCCTTGTTCAGCACAAACGCCTCCAGCAGCGTCATGGTGTAATCTTGGTGTGTGGGAGCGTGAGTGGACAACAGGTAGCGCTCTAAGACCTGGGAAGGAGTAGGGAACTATCAGAGGAGAAGCAACAACTCCCCACATATATATATATATTTTTTAAGCATGGGCAGAGTTTTCCTGGGACTTCCCCTCCCCACCCGCCCAGTCCCTGTCCCTCACATACTGGGAAGTCAGGACTCTCCCTCTCCAAAGGTTGAATCTCACAGCTGAGGCCGCGATAGTTCCGGTCCAGCGGGTGCTCCTTGTCCAGCTGCTCTGACCGCACCAGTTTAATGGCAGCACGGATCTCGCCGAGAGCCTTGAGGGGCAAAAGGAAAGCAGGCGGGAGTGTTTTCACAGGACGGCAGGACCACCAGCACTACCAAAATTGATCCATCCATGGTGGGCATCTTCTGTCTGTCTGTTTATTGATTAACTGATTGATCAACCAGTTCCTTCTCCCACCCCCCATCTGGAATGAGGGGAGTTTGGAGCCTTGAGGCCCAGTCACTGATTGCTCCAAATTTGCATGGGGAAGAAATTCAATTTCCTTTAAAAAGATATATTTACAATTTTGTTGAGATTATTAGTAAAGTAAATAAGAATGAAGAACAAAGAAAGAATGTTTTATCATAGCCTTAATTATATCATGGGTTATTTTGCTATTGCTGTTCTTCTTTGCTTTTTTAATATATATATATAATGAAATTCCCTTTCCTAGCATGATCTTGGCATTCTGCTGGCCAGATACTTGGGACATCCCATTCACTCCCCTCACTTCAGTTGTGCGTTTGCATTCAAGCGCTCTTACCTCCAGCAGCTGGG